GGAGTCTCTGTCACCCAGGCTGGAGTGCAGTGGTGCAATCTCAGCTCACTGCAACCTCTGTCTCCTGGGTTTAAGTGATGCTCCTGCCTCAGCCTCCTGAGTAGCTGGAATTATAGGCACCCACCACAATGTCCGCCTAATTTTTGTATTTTTAGTAGAGATGGGGTTTCGCCATGTTGATCAGGCTGGTCTTGAACTCCTGACCTCAAGTGATCCACTCACTTCAGCCTCCCAAAGTGCTGGGATTAAAGGCATGAGCCAACATGCCCAGCCTGATTAATGTGTATTTTCCAAAATGTTTACAAAGAAAGATTTACAAACACTTACAAAGAAAGAGAGAGATCCTCAGAAGAGAGGAGGTCCCTATGACATAAGGGTCCGGAGAGGGCAGGCAGCCACTCCCAACCATAGTGTGTCCCCATGACACGGACCAGTGGCTTCCTATGAAGTTTCCAGTCTCCTTTATCTGATGTTTCTCTGTTCTTCCAGGTTTGAAGCATCTAAGAAACCGGTGACCCAGTTCTCAGAAAAATCTCCCCTGCAGTCCTTTTATAAGGGCCCTGGGGACAGCAGGGCACTTGGCAGTTGCCAGCTCTCTGGGCACAAAGATAAACATTCTTCTCGCCACTGAGCTGGGAAAGGGGGAGCCTTCAGAGTGTGGCGCACTGCCCAGCAGAGTTCTGCTCAGCCACCTCTCCATGGATCTGGGTGAAGAGGGTTGTACTCTGTGGGGGGGCAGGAGACTGATTAGTCTCCCTTGCAATGAACTTCTGTCTCCATTATCTACTGCTGCAGAGTGAGCCACCCCAGAGTGCAAAGGCTTAAAACAACATTGCGTCACTCTCCTAATCCTGTGGGCTTCTCCCTCAGGGTTTCTTATGCCGCTGCAATCAGAAAGCAGCTGCAGCCAAAGTCATCTCAAGGCTTGATTGGACTGGATGTCTAAAACAAATTATTCACTCTCGTGGCTGGTGCCTCAGCTGAGATGGCTGGAACAACCATGGCCCTGGTTGGCCATCTCTTCCCTCCATACTGGGCTTCCCACATGCTTAGCTTGGGCTTCCTCACTTCATGGTGGCTCAGAGTAGTCCAGCTTCTTTAATGGCAACTGGCTTATCCCAGAGCAGCATTCAAAAACACTAAGATGGAAGCTGCCAGGCTTCCTGTGACCTGGCCTCAGAAGCCAGACTGTCACTTCTGCTGCATTTTATTGGTTCCGTGGTGCCAGCCCAGAAGCTAGTGGCAGGGGCCGAGCAAGAGTGTGAACCACTGTGCGGTTCTCAGTGGGCCATCTCCCAAGGTCAGCTACCACGATGCTCCTTGTCATTCAGCACTTTCTTCTCTTAGTTCTCTTCCTACCTCACTGTTTGCAACTTCTTAGTCTCTTTAGGTGATTCTTCCTCATCTTGCTGCTTTGAATTAATCAAGCCCAAGCTCAGGCTTGGGTCTCTTCCCTCTCTCCCATCTCATCCAGTCTCATGGCTCTAAACATTAATAAACTGACAACCTCTGAGTTTACATCTCCAGCCTGTACCTCTCCCCTGAAGTCTAGACTCTAGTCTCCAACTGCCAACTGGGTATCTATGCTTGGATGTCTCACAGGGACCTTGATGTTAGCAGCTTCAAAGCCACCTTTCAGCCAGGCGCAGTGGCTCACTCCTATAATCCCAGCACTTTGGAAGGCCAAAATGGGAGGATCACTTCAAGCCAAGAGTTTGGGATCTGCCTGGGCAACATAGGGAGATCCTGTCTCTACAAAAAAAGTTAAAAATTAGCCAGGTGTGGCGGCATGAATGTATAGTCCCA